CATTTGGGAGCTACTCCACTATTCTCCCAATCAACAGAAACATTTACCAAGTACCCAGGTAAACCAACTATTGTACTCTACCTTTGACATACTTTAAATGGAGGCACATATGCCATATAAATTTTAAAGGTAATTAATTAGAATCTCTTAGCAGTCATGTTAAGAGAAAACTTCATGTAGTTACTTAATCGTCATTATCTTAACTGCTGTGACTATTTTTTTTTTTTTTTGAGATAGAGTCTTTGTCACCCTCAGTAGAGTGCTATAGTATCGTAGCTCACAGCAGCCTCAAACTATTGGGCTCAAGTGAATCTCTTTCCTCAGCCTTCCATGTACCTGGGACTACAGGTGCCTGCTATAACACCCAGCTATTTTTAGAGACAAGGTCTGATCTGGCTCAGACTGGTCTCAAACCTGTGAGCTCAGGCAGTCCATCCACCTCAGCCTCCCAGAGTGCTAAGATTACAGGCATGAGCCATCACACCTGGCTTTACTGTGACTATTCTATTCTCACTTACCAGAAGCATAGCATTTTTTTTTATATGTATGATTACTGTCCTAAATGGCATAAAAAGGTGTGGGGGGGAGTAGCATATAATGTGGAGTGAAATAAATGACAGAGCATTGGTAAACATGTATACGTTTTGTTTCCTAGAAACATGGTAAGGAGATGAATGGTTTTTATTGGGAGCCAGCATGTCTTTCTTATATGTCTCTTCCTATAAATTTACAAAGAAGGTCACATCAAAAATAGACTTAGTAATTAAATTAGCAGAACTGAGCCTCAGTGCTATTTATTAAATTTGGGCCTCAAGTCAAGTATAGTGCCTCACACCTTTAATCCTAGCACTTTGGGAGGCTGATGCAGATATTGCTTGAAGCCAGAAATTTTAGACCTGCCTGAGCAAGGCAGTGAGAGTCAGTCTCTATTAAAATATATATATATATATATATACACACACACACACACACACACACATACATATATATACATATATGTGAATAAGCTGGGCATGGTGGTGTGTTGCTGTAGTCCCAGCTACCAGGAGGACTGAGGCAGGAGGATCACTTGAGCCCAGCAATCTGAGGTTGCAGTGAACTATGATAATATACCACTATACTCTACCCTGGACAGTAGAACAAGACACCATCTCAAAAAAGACAAAACAAAACAAAAAACTGCCAATGAAAAATAAGTTATTCAGGCGGCACCTGTGGCTTAGTGGGTAGGGCACCAGCTCCATACATCAAGGGTGCTGGATTCAAACCCAGCCGCAGCCAAACTGGAACAACAACAACAACAAAAATAGCAGGGCACTGTGGCGGTCACCTGTAGTCCCAGCTACTTGGTAGGCTGAGGCAAGAGAATCGCCTAAGCCCAGGAGTTGGAGGTTGCTGTGAGCTGTGTGACACCACAGTACTCTACGGAGGCCGATAAAGTGAAACCCTGTCTCTAAAAAAATAAGTTATTCATTAGTTATCCTTTAAGACTTTGGTAAGAATTTTATTCATGTTTATTACTTTTTCTTTCTTTTCTTTTTCTTCCTTCTCATCTCTCCTTCCCTCCCATCCCCTCTCCTCTCTTTTGGGTAGAATCTTACAATACTGCCCAGGCTGGTCTCAAACTCCTGGACTTAAGTAATCCTCTTGTCCTAGCCTCTGAAGTAGCTGTGATTACAGACAAGTGCACATGTATTTCTTTTTGTGTTTTGACTACTTTAATGTTCACTGTTCATGGATTAGAAAGGATCGTAAAGTGATGGTAATAATGACAAGCTGTGGTTCTTTTTAAGCCAAAGACAACTATTAGGCAGTTTTATTATTTTATGATTTCATAGTCTCAAAGTATCTCCCTCAAATGGTAATTAACTGCAAAGGGAAAAATAGTAACTGCATAGTGGAGACACCACCAGCCAATGCCATATTAACCAAGTGACTAAGTGTAATATCACAAGTAATAAGACATATGGATATTGTCGACCCCCAGTATGTTATACTGAGAAGAACAGAAATATTTCTGTGGTATTCTTACCAAAATTTCATAACCTCATTGCAGTCATAAGAAAAGATCAATCAAAGGAACTTTTCTATATTGTAGGGTATTAGAAATAATAATTGATGGGTGGAGGGAGAGGGATTCGAGGGTTCACTTCTGTGGTTCATCTT